TAAATAAATAAACAAATATATTCCCCTTGAAACATTAGGTGAAGTGAGGACCATGTAATACGTACGGGCCCCCAAATTATATGAGCAGTCAGTCAGCTTTATGGCATACAGTAGCATTGCTGTGACACCTTCTGTGGAGCCAGCAACCTCTAGTACTTCAGAGTGGCCAGCTTATTGCAGTAGTCAGTTAGCTCTATTGCACATTGCACCATTACTGTTAGACAATATATGAAGCGGGCAACATATTTTAATTACTGCTAACTAACTTATTTTAGTAGTCCGTTTTATGTAATGCGTATACTGAACCACATAGTCGCCTCGTTATCTCTTTGTAGTCCGACGATAACCATTCCAAAAGCCTTTGCAGACATGTATACCTATTTACAGTCTACCGGTTATTTATCTACCTAAATAATTTTAAAAGCGCGTTCCTCCTATTAAAAAGGATACAGGTAAGCTCCTTTATTTACGGCATAATATATCACCAGACATACACAGAAATAGACAGATTACCTAAATTTCGGATTCTAGTTGCATACTCATGTCCTTTTTTACATCGCCTGATGCTACCGCAATAGCTCAGCATCTTGTACTGCATGAAAATTCCTTGTAAATGACCTAAAAATTGAGTCTGCCATTACTGCCCGCTAAACCAGCGCCGAATACAACCCTGAAAGCAAGCGACGAAGAAAAATCTCCGTCAGACTGAGCAAAAATCTCATTTTGCTTCGTCAATGGCGAAGCGCTGACGAAACTTTAAGAAGTTTCGTCTTCGTTTTGCTTCGTCACTGACGAACCTTTACGAAGGATAGCTTTAGTTTAGCTTCGTCATTTACGAACCAATACAAAGGCAGTCCCTCGACTTCCTATGTACATATGTGATTGGTCCAAAAATAATACAAATGAAGTTGTTTGTTGAACAATCAAAAGTTACGTATAATTGCCTAAAAGGATTATAAAGAAAAGTATATTGCGGAATTGTTTGCATTTAAGGTAAGCCTGCGTGTTTGTTTGCATACATTTTTGTATCGGAAATGGAAGTGCGCAGTCATTTGATTGCTCCCCGGTTCCCTTGTTGCTTTCCGTGTCGGTACGTCCGTTGTTTTCCTCACCGAGGTCTTTGTGTCCAACAAGCATTACGTAAGCGTTTATTAAGTTAATGTTTCATGTCTTAGAGATGCGCAGTCGTTTAACAAGGCGTCGTTGTTCATTTGCGTTACCTTCTGCACGCACATTGAGAATGCGATTGCTCATTTTGCGTAGACTAGCTGAGCATGAAGCATTCCGTGTGCGCGATTATAGCCGTACTAGTAACATGGATGTAATTATAGGAGGTAAGGTTTCCAAGCATCTTTTTAGTGTGATTGTAGACCGCTGCATCACGCAACGGAGTAACCTGTCCGATCCTGTCCACAACGGTTCTGCACGCGAATTCACCGACGTACTTTCACT